TGTGATTGTCACTCCATCAGAGAAGGCGTACGAGAAACCCCTAGAAAGAAAAGAGGAGGAAGACGAAGGTCTAGATGAAGGAGGAGAATGAGAGGATGAGAGCATTGCAACCAATAAACATTTATCACATAATTAAACCTGCAATATCTCTGCTCCACTTATCTGGAACAAATTCACAGAACACTAAGAAGGCTAAAAGTTTGTCTGTTTGTCTTTATCTGTTAACACCAGACGTGATTTGAGCATTAAAAGCAGCAGGGTTACATGCAAAGTCTATAGTGCATCAAAGCGCATTGAAAGGTCTCTGCACCGCATCTTTATGCATCTCAGCATGTGAAGCAGCGCCTCATAGCCTCAACATCAGCAGCTGCTGGAGTTAAAAAAATTGAACCTTTGCTGCTCGATGCGTCACATCAGCCAATCAGGCAAGCTGATCTGGGAGCTGGCAGGGAGACAGACACAGCGCTGCTAATGCAGAGCGCTATGATCACTCATCTAAAGCAGTTTATTAACGCCTACATTAACTTAAAATGTAGAAACCTGCTGGCAGAATATGTTCGCTTTTATTATCCTGCTGCCTGCAGTTTGAACCTGAAAAACTCTAACGTCTACTTCCAGCTGCTACCAGTTGTAGTTGACCTGTTCTGAGGCAGCTGATTCCCAGTCACAGCGCACTGCTGGTATATGGGGGTCTGAGCGGCTCTGACAGAAATCTTTGAAGGCAGGATGGTAATCTGGATGAACTGATGGCACAGACCATGTTTACAGGAGGACTTTCTCACTTCTACTTAATTTAGTTAACAATAAATTCAGTAGGAAAGTTACTTTTGTTCTAGAGTCACGCAGGAGGATGATAAGCAAATAAGTTTTAACAACTCAATTTTATTTTCTTCTCCCCAAAAAAAAAATCCAGATAACACCATTTACCTTACCATAATTTAGAATATAACTTAAAATATCCAACCTTATAGAGGGATTATCAGGCAGCGTCACTCCACGTCACTTCCGGCACCAATGCGCATGTCGCCTGCAGAAAGAGCCGCTAACATGTCTTGTGCTGTCTGTTGCACGAACCGTTTTGATAAAAACAATAAAACGGGGAAGTTTTACCGAATCCCATCAACTCGCACCCCTTTCAAGGCAAACAAGAGACGTCTTTGGTTGCAAGCCATCAGAAGAAGCGATTGGAACGAGCAGATGATTAAAAATGCATCAATCTGCAGCGATCACTTTATATCAGGTAAGTCTTATCTATAAAAAAGCTAAACGGCATCGCTGGTTTTACAAACAATGGTTTTACATACAATTATTAAGTATTACATATATAAACGGGATTAATGAATCGTACAAAACACATTGGAGCATAACTAGCATACAAGCTAATGTACCTTGATTCAGTCTTATCAAGTTGCAACTCATCGGGTCAGCTCTAAGTTTTATCATTAACATCATCACGTTGTCTGGTCTAAACTTCTCTGTGTGTGCTGTCTTTTCAATTGATTGACTAGTGTCTGTAATAAAGGTTGATGATGATTGCATCAATACATTATTTGTACAGGAGAGGCATCAGACGACATCGAGGGCCCAGACTTTGTCCCGTCTATCTTTCCATACTCAATCCAGCCCGGCAAAGACGGTGTTGCAAAACTGGAGCGGTAAGTATCACATCTGTGTGCTTGATTGTTGTCTGATTACAAGCATGACTCCACATAGTATGACTGGAAGTGCAAATTATTGGGAAATTATAATAATTATTGCAGAATAGAATAGTCACTAGTGTACGGAAGAGGTTTAGGGCCACTGGAAAAAAAAAAGTAAACTGATTTTTAAATTTTATTTCAGTTTAACATGGGAACAAGTCAGAATTCTGAGATTAAAGTCAGAATTCTGACTTTTTTCCCCATACTATACTGAAATAAAATAAATAAAAAAAACGGTTAACTTTTTTTTTTTCCCAGTGGCCCTTATCCTCTAGCGTACTAGTGAGATTAATCAGTTAGTAATGTTCATATTTGTTGCGAACAGGTATTTGCCCACAGTGTGACTGATCACCCAGAATGTAACCATTTGTTTTTTGTAAAGATAAGAATGTAAAATTTGTATTTATTTTTCAGAAGGTATGGTCCCAAAGACTGTCCATGATGACCTCCAGCTGAAGTACAGCCAACTTCATACAGAGTGTGATAACCTGCGTGAGGACATCAACAAACTGAAAACAGAATGAACAATTAAAAGAAATGCTCGGGACTGCACAGTTCTCTTTTGCGTCACTGAAGTGTAAAGCAGCACAGGTGCTGTTTTTCACAGGTCTAACCAGTGCCCTCTTTAATTGGGTCCTGCAGACGGTCAAGGACAGTGTGGAGGTCATCTGTGGCTCTCTGACCCTAGAGGATCATCTTTTGGCTGTACTCATGAAACTCAGATTAGGACTCACCAACAAGGATATTGCATTCCGATTTAATGTTAACGAATGTGACATCTCTAAAATCTTAAGAAGTTGGCTGCCTATTATGTCTCTGATTTTGAAACCTTTAATCAAGTGGCCAAGTCAGCATGCTATATTAAAGAATATGCCAAAATGTTTCAAACCTAAATACCAGCGTTGCAGGTGCATTATTGACTGCACAGAAATTTTTATTAACAGACCAACAAATTTAACAGCCAGAGCCCAAACATATTCAAATTATAAGAGCCATAACACGGTTAAGTATTTGGTTGGCATGTCACCTGCAGGAGCAATTACATTTCTG